CCATCACACCACGTCAAGGTGCAGCCTTGTCGTGATGGTTAACATGATTAGAAATTTATTCTTTACAACATTATCGACAAGTGGATTGTAATAGGTCATTGATGCATTTATCAAAAAGTGTGAAATCCTCTTATCCGCGGGATTTGTCCGGGGTGATAATTTGGTGACATCACCGCCCAGATCTGATCAACATTAAAAGGCAGCCGAAACATACGTAAATGCCACTCATTAACTTCACTTGAGACGAACGGCTACAAACCGGCGCACAATCTCCAATTGATCACATTTTTAACAGTAGAGGACCCCAATCGCGGAAGTATTGCTCCAAAATATAGAGTCCTCTCAGCATGAACATTGCGCAGAAAAAGAAGCATCTCATCTACCCATGTCTAAATGAAACGGTCGGAGATGATAAACCACCTATATAAACCGTGAATTGTCCTCCTGTGCGGTTAGCAAAGAAGAAATGCGTGTACGCGCGTAGCTGGAAACTGAAAGCAAATCCTTCCCCGTGCATCTTTTGTTTTTGAAAGCATTTCAGTGCCGGATTCTACAAAATTGTGCTATCATTTCAGTTCAGATGGCCAATAGTCCTCGACGGCCAGTTTGAAATTTCAGCATGATGTAAACTGTGCGTACTATTTAAGAACTTGTAAACGGACAGGAGTGACGCAATTTCGTTCAACACTTAACCATGTCTCCGAATATCTCTGGTCAGAAAACTGTCTGCTTCCTGACTGTGTCAAACAAATCACGGTAAAAATAATCATTATGACAAAGAAAAGGGTCTGTGATTTTCCAGTAGGCGAAGTAGTCATAGGAGTGTTGTTTTCACTCCCTCCAGTGGCTAATCATTGAGATGGTATACCAAGAACAAGAGGTACGCGATCATTGCAGGTCAAGTTTCAGAACATGAACTGAATTACCTACTGGTCTTCGCCTTATCTCCCTATTGACGGTCTATACGTTTACGAAGACCTCGGTGCTACCAAACGAACGGCTGTTTTCCATTCCGTGTACAGCGTATCGACTGTGAAGTCACTTTGATTCGAGAATCTCTGGCGTACTCTCGGCTGTTAACGAACAGACTGGCGATGAAGCGCATATCTCGTCGGCCTGAAGGATGTATTGATTATATTGGAACCGTTGTTCATGTATTTTTTGTGATTTGCATCTATCTGTCCATCAATCTATTTAATAATTTATCTAACACATATATATATAACATCGGCTTACGAACAAGCATGATGCAAACGCCACAACAATGATAACGGGATGAGGGGTTTGGGGTGCAGAAAAAAAGGCGAAACCGTTAAAATGGAAAAATGCAAATGAATGGGATAAATATTTTTGTGTTCTACCGTACACCCTTTTAAATTTTTGTGTGTTAGTTTATCGTTTTTTTATGGGGCACGGGACTTCAACAGACAGACCATGCAACATTCGCGCCACTGACTTCTATTCTGGGCTATATCTCTTAGCGTCTCTAACCAATGACAATCCTCATCCCTTGGGCCTCAACCTGGAAGGCGGACTGCACCAACCGAAGACAAAGCTGAAGCCAATTTCTTCATACCTCTACGCCATTTCATGGTCTGACCTCCGCGGCGCTTTTTCCAGCCTTACCCTGCACGTGCAAAACGAGCACGGAAAGGTAGCCTATGAGCAGGCATACGCAATACGTGACCAAGCCATCGAAGGCGGTGTAGAGCGATTACTTCTGTAAGAGAACGACTATCCACACACGACGACGGACCCCGTCATTGTTCACTGGATTTTCCCATCAGACACCAGCAATGCTTCGGAAACAACGGTGGTCAAATACAGAAAGTCGATTAGCATCCTCAATGCGGAGAGGCCAGGTCTCGCAACCGTAAAGTAGAACATTACAAACTGCGGCGAGGTACACCCTTCCCTTAAGGGACAGTCGGATGTCATGGCGGCGCCACAGGTTGGCGAAAGCTGTTTTAGCCTTCGCTATTCGTGATGTGATCTCCTCCCCAAAACCGTCACCATCTGCGATCAAGCTCCCGATGTACTTGAAGCTCCCAACTACTTCCAGCTGATCACCACAGAGGGTGAGTGCGGGCACAGGCTCCTGCCAGTCTCGAACAAGCACTTTGCACTTGGACGGTGCAAAGCACATACAAATCTGAATACCTCGATCGCCAAGCGGTCCGAAGTGTCTTGACTTGCCTGTGTGTTGTCATCCAGCAACGCGATGTCATCGGCCTATTTTAGGTTAGGGACTCTGTTCCACCGTTTGCTAGACCGGACAAAGCATTCTGTAGAACCTCCTCCATGGCAAAGTTGAAAGGGAATGGGGAATGGAGAGTTGTCTACTGGTGAGGTTTTGCCTACTGCTGAGTGTCACTAGCACGATTGCGTAAGTAACGGTTATTAGGATAATTACTCTGGTTCGAAGGAGGTGCGATTTTAGCACCTCACTGGCGTAAAGCAAGTAAAACTATTCCGGTATCTTTATCA